AAGGTGTTTTTAATTTTAATTTTTATTTGTTTTATTTAGTTTCTTTATGTTGCTTTAAAGATGTTTTCAAACATGTAAGTCCATGACAATGTTTTACGATGAAGATTTAAGTGTTTATTTCTGCATAAGAGAGTATGTTATGATGATGGTGGCGACATTAGGTTAGTAGAAATCTAGGATCATTATACTTTAAACATAAATTCCAACCGTCGATTGTTACAAAAGAATAAGACCATGTCCATTTGTTTTGAAAGCCTTTTTCGAATGCATTTGCATAGGAGCAATTTTGATATACTCTACGTTCAAAGGTGGGTATATTTCCTAACTTACCGACCAGTGTTAAATAAATTTACATCTCCGAAGTTAAAATGATTTTTATTATGCATAAATTGACCAATAAAATACAAAATATACAATAGGGGTGTTTAAGAAAATCGAGACAGACAACTAAAATTTTATTTATTTGATTAATGATAAACACTTGACAAAAAAATTGTTGTACCTCATATCAAATTGGGACACTTTAGTGTATAAGACTAACATGACAACCACTACACTACACCAACTAAAGGTTGATAATAAAAAAAAAATAGTTAATATTTAAAATTTTAATGTTTTAAAAATATCCTTAGAACCTCCAAAAGTTTGTTCTACATTATATTCACCATTAAGGACCAGTGACAACTATACAACTTGGTTACAAAATGCATTATAACTTGTTAAATTTAAAGCAATTCGATCGATTTAGGGTCTTAACGCATGGTTATCAATATTTTTCTTTCATATATCTTTAATTCATACTTGGTGGTTCATACAAAGATTCAAGCGATTTCTACAAGTATTTCTTAAGAAAAGTCTAAGATGGTTACTTACCTCATAGTTGACGTATGGAACCTCCGTTCTCGAGCAATTGTATCCCAATTACTTCAAATTTTCTTAGACACAATCATTAGAGTGCCTAGTTTCTATAACCATAAATTTTTTTCATAAGAATTGGTCTAGAAGAAGATTAAAATTAAGAAAAATTGAGGGAGGGTCACGTTCCGGTTTGACATGGTGGGTTCAATTGAATTCGCCACATCGTTGTCTTCTTCATTTGGAAGGAAGAAGACACGCACATCCAATAGCGCCACCCTCTAAAAACGCCTCTCGCCATCTCCAATCATGGCATTGCTCCCCTTTATTTCTTCATGATACTTAAAAGATGGTGTTACAAGGAAGAGATTGGGATTGATTTTATACCTTCTCGTGGATTGTAGCCTAAGTTATTTGCCTCAAAAGTTCATCAAAAAACTGATTTATCGTTGGAGTTCAAACCAAAGATTTCTTATTGGGTAGTCGTTTCTAAGGATTTTCAGGACTCAATTGCTTCATGGAACTTATTCCTTATACTTCCATCTAGTGGTTTGAACAAACGTCTTTAAGTGTGCGACATTAATTTTGAGAAATTCTTCTCAATCTATCGCTCGCCCAAAAAAGTAGAGAATTGACTTCTTTGACAACTTGATCTAGGACGTTTTAACTCTAGATTTCTTTTCAAAATTACTCAACTCAATCCTCTAAAGCTTAAGGAATGTGCAATCTAAAGAAAAATAGACGGTAGATTGTAGTTCGATACTTTACCTGAAACTTATCTTCTTCAATTGGCACGTTCTTGGGATTAATTCTTTTCATGGTCTTCTACAAAAATTTTCCTGGAAGGTGCAGAAGTTAATTGGTATTGGCCTTGCTCGAAAAATTTACATGTAGGCTTAGATTGAAATTTCAAGCTTTTTACTTCCTTCTCTCATGGCGATTGGAGGAATGGATTCTAGGCTCTTTCAATCCTTGATTCCTACATAAAACTTGTAGGAACAAAGGGAAATGGGGTACTCAAGAATTTCAAAGCTTTTACTTCCATCTTTAATGGCGGCAACCATTTGAGGAATGGGTTCTAGGCTCTTTCAAATCCTCCTTCCTAATCACGTAATTGAAAGTCGATCAATCAAAGGGTTAGTGAAAAAAAAAAAGAACGTTACTCAGAGGCCCAACGTGAATTATTATGGACTTTTGGATCATCAAAAACCGTCTAAAATCTAAAATCGTACAAGAACACGAGGTAAGTTTCTAACCTTTCATTCTCGATTTTAGTATAATGATCTTGTCACGACCTGACTTTTTGAAGTTTCTAAAATAAAATTCGACGAAAGTGGAAAAAAAAAAAGGAAAAGTAAAGTATAATAAAGATAAAAATTTGCGGAGAAAATCATAAAACAAAATACAATGGACTCCAAAATGTAAAAACAAACTGACGCTATGAAACTACACCTCTCTATGACAGTGCAACTCTCGAGCACCACTCCACTTTGACCAATACCTGACAAAGAAAGGGGTGAGTACAAAAATATACTCAAAAGCAACCTACTTGTAGGCTTTCATTGCTTCCTTCTCCTAGTAGGTTCCCACGACTTTCCTTTGATCTATAAGAAGTTCGTGCTCACCCTTTACAGTGTCCTAAACTATTGTGTAGGTCTCGAAGTTCCAATTGATTTCTCATTGATCGTCTACTAATGTAGTCCCTAGTCCCTCTTTGAGACTAGTTTATGACGTCACAACATTGGTCTTGACTCGTTCCTACACTCAATAAGGGCTCTCATCCTAATACCTACCTGTGTAGTCGCTAGTCCAACCGAGACTGGTTTACAGGTTCGCCTATTTCTACCCTCAATAGGGGCTAATATCTTGAGCTAACTACCCATATAGTCTCTAGTTCTTCTAAAAAATCGGTTTAATGGGATTAGAGCGTCGTCCCTGACCTGACTCTACATTCTAGTGTCATGATTTTGTAAGCTACTTAAATCAAGTTAAGACACCGTTGAGGCCTACTAGGTTCTTAGGGCGGCGTCCAGGCGGTTTAAACTTTATTTCTCAATTCCAAGGCGTTTTGAGTTAGACCTATGTGCACCTAAGGATTGGTTAAGTAGAGAGGCTAACATCTAGTTCTACATGTAAACCACACTAGTTATAGTGCCCTAATCTTAACTGAGTTCTTGATGCATCATTCTCTATTAGGAAAATATATCTATCAACTGTCTTTAACACGTAAGACGTGTTTACCCATTCACATATGTTTATTAAGATGGTATTCTTACCAACCTCTATTGCATAGAAATAATAAGGTATAAATCATACACACAATCAAACAAACTCAATTGGGAGATACATCCATCAATCACCCGGAGCACAGATCATAATATCCCTTCTTCTATCATACCACACTAGAAGACATTAAATTAGACACAATTCTCAATTCTTTTGTTCTAAGGGAAATTTCATAATTTTATAATATACATGTCATAATTATCCAAAAATTTCAATCTAGGACCCAGTGTCCTCGTTAGCCCTCGTTCCTTTCTCTAATCGATGTAGAATTTCACTGGATGTGATTTTTTTTTTTTTTTTTTTTTTTTTTTTTTTTTTTTTTTTTTTTTTTTTTTTT